GGTAGATGTTCATCCCAGCACCCAGCGAAATCCAAGACACAAGCTCGCAACATATCTTCCAAAATTTGATTCAATCTTTCAGTCTGTCCGTCCGTCTGAGGATGGAATGCTGTACTAAACCTTAACTGAGTCCCCAATGCTTTTTGGAGGCTTTTCCAAAACTGAGAGGTGAATCTAGTGTCCCGATCAGACACTATAGACACCGGTACACCATGCAAGCGTACTATTTCTCTGATATACAGCTGAGCCCACCGATCCACACGATAAGTGGTTTTGCCTGGGATGAAGTGAGCCATTTTGGTAAGTCTATCAACAACTACCCAGATTACGTTGAAGTTCTGCTTAGTCTTGGGCAAGCCTGAGATAAAATCCATGCAAACTGCTTCCCATTTCCATTGCGGGACCTTTAGGGGTTGTAGCAGTCCTGCTGGACGCTGTCTCGGGGCCTTCACCTGCTGACAGGTCAAGCATCGGCTTACAAATTCTGCTATCTCCTTTTTCATCCCTGGCCACCAATAACATCCCTTAAGATCCTGATACATCTTTGTACTTCCAGGGTGGAACGTATAAGAAGTATCGTGAGCTTCTGTCATAATATCCTTAAGAATTTTCTTGTCACGGGGAACGCATAAGCGATTTTTCCACAGCAGACCCCCATCTGAAGAGATTGAGTACCCCTCTGGTCTTTCAATCTCCGTCTGATTCCACAGCTTTTCAAGGTGTTCGTCAGACCTCTGAGCGTCAATAATCCGTTTTCGTAAGGTAGGTTGCATGGTCATTTGTGTTATCTGAGCAGTACCACCTTTGATTACAACATCGATTCCAGCCCTCTTCATCTCATCCTGTATTCTCTCCTGCTTAGTGATCATAGCGGAAGTATGAACTGCCTTTCTGCTCAATGCGTCCGCCACAACATTGGCCTTGCCTGGATGATACAGGATCTCGATGTCGTAATCTTTTACTAATTCCAACCATCTCCTCTGCCTCATGTTAAGTTCCTTTTGCGTAAATAGGTACTTGAGACTTTTGTGATCGGTGAATACTTGAATTTTCTCTCCATACAGATAATGTCGCCACGTCTTTAGTGCAAACACCACTGCTGCTAACTCGAGGTCATGAGTAGGATAATTCTTTTCATATTCCTTCAGTTGTCTGGAAGCATAAGCTATCACTTTACCCTTCTGCATGAGCACGCATCCAAGACCTTTTCCCGATGCGTCGCTGTACACCACAAGATTTCCTGATCCATCAGGGACTGTGAGGACTGGAGCTGTCACTAACCTCTCCTTGAGTTCCTGGAAGCTCTGCTCACAGGCTGTTGTCCACAAAAAAAGCTTGCCTTTCTTAGTTAACTGAGTTAGTGCTGAAGATATCTTGGAGAAATCCTGGACGAACCTTCTGTAGTAACCAGCTAGTCCCAGAAAACTCCGTACCTCAGTGACTGTGGTCGGTCTTGGCCACTTCATCACTGCCTCAATTTTAGCTGGGTCTACTGTGATTCCTCTACTCGACACCACATGACCCAAAAACGCTACCTCAGACAGCCAAAATTCACACTTGGAAAACTTAGCGTACAGTCGCTGTGTTCTTAGTATGGTCAGAACTTTTCTCAAATGCTCTTCGTGCTCTGCTTCTGACTTGGAGTACACCAGGATATCATCAATAAACACTATAACAAAAGTGTCTAAAAATTCTTTAAACACTCTGTTCATTAATTCCATGAAGACGGCTGGTGCATTGGTAAGTCCAAAGGACATGACGAGAAATTCATAATGTCCATAGCGACTTCTAAAAGCTGTTTTGGGAATATCTTCTTCTCTTATTCTCAATTGATGGTATCCTGACCTCAAGTCAATTTTAGAGAATACCGATGCTCCCTGCAGCTGGTCAAACAAGTCGTCGATCCTCGGAAGGGGGTACTTATTCTTTATGGTGACCTTATTCAAATCTCTGTAATCTATACACAGGCGCAGGGATCCATCCTTTTTCTTGACAAACAGGACAGGGGCTCCCCAGGGCGACACACTGGGTCGTATGAAACCCTTATCCAATAAGTCCTGTAACTGTTCCTTCAATTCCCTGAGTTCTGCAGGTGCCATTCTGTAGGGTGCCTTGGAGATCGGCGCAGTTCCTGGTTCTAGGTCGATCCCGAAGTCAACTTCCCTAACAGGGGGCAAACTTGACAAATCCTCAGGAAAAACATCAACAAATTCCCTGACAATGTGCACTGACGAGACTGCCTGTTCAACACTGCTATCTAGGGTCACACTAGCTAAAAATGCACTTGCACCACCGCGGATCATCTTTCTAGCCTTAAGTGCAGTTACGACACTTGGGGTTCTTTTGGAAGTGGCTCCCTTATATGAAAAACTATCCCCTGACGGGAGTCTGAAAGTAACTATTCGAGTTTCACAATCAATAAGAGCACGATTCTCGCCTAGCCAATCCATACCCAAAATGATGTCGTAGTCTTGCATGCTTAAAACTATTAAAGTAGCTTCTAAGACTCGTCCCGACACTGTCACATTACCCCTTTTAACTCTATGTGTAGCCATTAATAACTCGTGAGCAGGGGTGGACACTGATAGAATGGTCTCCAAGGGTTCTTTTTCTAGGTGTGCTAGGTCAACGAATTCCTCGGACACAAATGAGTGTGTAGAACCCGAATCAAATAGTACAAAAGCTAAGTGATCAAAGACTGGTAGCGTACCTGTAACAACCGCGTCAGGTGCATCGGCCTGCCTGCCTGTGGTTGCATGGGCTACAGCTCGCCCCTGCTGCTGTTGGGCACCCCGACCCCTTTGATTCTTTGCTACAGGTCGATTAGTGACATCGTCTCTCCGTTGAGGGCAATTTGCTGCATAGTGTCCCATCTGGCCACACAATTATAGCATACATTAGTCCCCAGGCGACATTCTCCCTGGTGAGTACGCTGACACTTAGGACATTGATTCCTGTTCTGTGCTGGGGTTCTTCCGCGATTGGCAGTGCCACCACGGGGTGGTCTGTTAGTCCTGGGATGATTTCGATTTATCTGTTTTCCCTGGACTGCGATCTGGGAGTTTTGGGTTGACCCTGCTTGTAATCTGTCAGTGCGAGGTGCATCAATGAGGGTAGCCATCTTAAGAGCTGCTGTATAGTCTGAGGATGCCTGTGATGCCACATAACCTCTAATGTTCTCCCTTAGGCCGGCGATAAAACGTTCAGCCTTAAGCTCTTCAGTACTGACATATATAGGAGAGAATCTAGACAATCTATTAAACTCCTGATCATAATCCTCCACAGATAGGTCACCCTGTTTGAGTTCATGAAATGCTGCTTGCAGCTTCATTCTAGCAGCGACTGGGTAGTATTTGCGGAGGTAAGCCTCTTTGAACTGAGGCCAAGAGATAGGCTCTCCAAGAGGTGCAATCAACTTCTTAGCACCCTTCCACCACAAATGAGCCTTTCCTTCCAACATATACGTTCCGTAGTGAACCTGATATTCCAGCGGACAGTTCATGTAAAAGAAGGCTTTTTCCATGGCCTCAAGCCAATTTTCTGCTGCAATAGGATCTATTTTGCCACCTTCGAAGGAAGGCGGTTTCTGCCTCTGAAAATCCTTAAGATAACGAGCCTCTATGGTCATAGTTCCAGAGTCTCTGTTTCCCAGCAATGCTGTCTGTTGCATTGCTGCCTGTTGCGTGGCTGTCTGTTGCATTGCTGTCTGTTGTAATGTTGTCTGTTGCAGCGTTGCCTGTTGAATGGCCTGTTGCATCATGGCCTGGTTAGTGACCAGTGTTTGCATCATCTGAGCCATTTGAGCCTGGTTTTCCATAGAGGTTAACATAAAAGACTGTACTACATCTGTAGTGAGGATAGTTGTTGGTTGTCTAGGTGGAACCTCCACGTTATCTGTGGGCACTGATGGGACCGCTTCAGGAGGAGGAGCAGTAGAGTCTGCGTCCGGTAAATCTTGAGTCACTGCTCTCCTCTGACTCATTCCTGACCTTGGTGCCCGTGGTATAGGACATTCAAACCATTCAGGCATTTCTTCAACCTCCTCTTGAGGTTCAGGTACAGGTTGTTCCGCCTCAGGAGACGGGACATCAGTGTTCTGAGCGACTCTTCTTCTTCCCCTTCTAGGTCCAGGCCCGAGATAGGTTCCACTTCTCTTAGGTGCCATTTAGCTACCACAATAAAAACTTTGTGGTTACATTACTTACAGGGTTCATCCTCTAGGAAGTGTGTTGTAAAACACAAGAGAACAGTCATGAAAAAGAAAACTCTCTACTTCATATCTTATCTCTTAATTTCTCAATTCAGATTCGTGAGACTGTCTGGTCGCGAGCAGCACGTGATTGATGGGCGCGTCACAGAGGATACGACTCTCTAACCTAAGTGTCTACAGGACCTATGTCCTGGTGCTCTGATACCAAATTTGTCACGACCCCAAATTAAGCCGTGACTAACATTGTATGACATGTAATGCATAAACGAGAAATTCAAGGAAATCATTTGTTTCAAAAGAAAAACGTATCTTTATTAGAAGGACATAAGTGCCTAGGTAAAAAAAACAAGGAAAGGAACATGTGAGACAAAGTGTACTATTTAGTAAACTAGACTGACGCCCCGGGACACGCTTCCTCTGTGACAACCCACATCGATCGACGCGCCCTCTCTTGACTCGACGCCTCACGTACCTGAAAAAAAAAGTATAAAGGGAATGAGTATAAAAATTATACTCAGTAAGCCACCTACTTGTAGGCTCTTACCGCACCCTAAACTTAGCAGACGATCACGGACTTTCCTTTGGCTCTAGAACAACTGAAATCGGGCCTTACCTCATTAGGGCTTACTCTCTTGGAACTTATCTCTTTGGACTTCTTTGGTTCCTAGACCTTTTATTTAAACCCATAGAGTTCCTTTTATGCTAACCTGTGTTGGACTGGTGCCTTACGAGTGGCTACCTCGGCATGGGTATGAGATTATCTGGGGTCTTGCCTAGGAAGTGAGCTGCAACCCCCTAGACCCATGATAATCCCCCTGTATTTGGGAGGGCTACCTCCCCTATTCCATCCAGCTAAACGGTCAATTACGACGTGGGTATCCCGTTTCCCATACTAAACGGCTATCGAGCAGTCGACTCCTGATCAGGAACCCGCTGGTCCCCCACGAAGCTATATCACCATCCACACACAAGTAGCCTAAGGGTACTCTAAGGATGTTTCATGTGCCGTGATGGTCTGATAAACTAATAGGGAAATGTTAAGTCTATCCCTCGATGGCTTGTCGCTCTAACCATAATCTTCTAGTCTTATTCATAAAGGTGGCCATAAAAATAACCGAGTACGTACATAACTACTATCCAAAAACCTCAAACACATTTCATGCAAAGTAATCATACAAGCTCGACGGGGTGATAACATCCATCAACTCCCGGAGCACAGAGTTCGCAATTTTCCCATCCTCCATTCAGCATGAAAACATACACATGCATATTCAACGGGAACTAAAATCATATCAGCAGTATCCAAGTAACTCTCATAACAAATCACAAGATACATTCAACGTTCAATAAACTATTTCCTACGATCATTAACGGGAAAGCTAGAACCTAAAATATTCAGACTAGCATGCATGCATTCCAAGCGGTTCCTACAAGTAATACTTCCTAAAAATCCGTGTGGTGACTTACCTGGATGGCGCGTGTCCTTAAGCAGCGTTTCCACCCACTTAACGTATCGAGAGGCGGTGATTTTCCTTCAATTTGGTCCTATTTCAATCAGAATGGGTTTAGGATTGGAAATCTGGAGGAAAATTGGGAAAACAGAAACGAACGGGCCAAAAACAAGCTTACACGCGCTTCCACGCGCCAGCCACGCGCTGGGGAACAACCACTCGCGGGTTCCACGCGCGAGTGTCACGCGCCCAGAGATTCTGCAGTCGCGGGTCGCGAGTTCGGGTCGGAAGCGGTGATTCGGGTGGACCGCGGGTCGTCAACTGGTTTCGGTTCGCCGTGCGGGTATCGGGTCAGCCAAGGAGCGCGGGTCGGGTCGCGGAGCCAGGGACGCGTGTCGCAGGAGCGCTGGAGCCGCGTTTTCCCAGGCGGCGCTCGACGCGTGTCCGGGGGCGATTGGCGCACGCGGCCCTCTGGTTGGTTGACGCGTGGCACACCGGCGGCTTCTCTCTCCTCCTACCAGAAAATCAAGGCTTCCGATTAGTTTTTCCGAGGTTTCTTTCCATTTTCTATCTTTCGATTCTTAACCCAAACAGAGGTGGTTTCTTCAACAAAGTTATAGATCATCTATCAACCTACGTGCCAATATTATTTTCTTGATTTTTGCTTAGTCACACGATGAGTTTCGAGCGTCGAAAAGAGGTTCGGTAACAACCTTACCGTTCTTGGATAGTCTCTCAGATCTCGTCGTTTCGTCCGTTTCCCTCACCAAGATCGGCAGCGAATCCTCCCTGGACAAAGGTAGTAGACTTAACCATTCTACTCCTAAACAAAGATCTAAGATCTGGAAGGTATAGTTCGAAATCTTACTTTGCGGGTTTTCTTTCTGATCTTGAGGAAGGAGGAGGAAATCTCCACACGAGTTCTTACTTCACTCCAAGAAGGGCTCCAGAGTACAGGTCTTGGTAGGAAATGGATTCCGTCGGCGACTCTCCGACGAGAACTCCGGCAAACCAGTTTTCTCTCTCAAACTTTCTCTCAGTTCTTCTCTCTCACTCTTCTTCTTTTGCAGGTAATCTGAGGAGGACGCTCAAGACCCCTATAATGGGCTGAGGGGTAAAATGTCCTTTTTGCCCCTCAACCGTTTTTTTTTTTTTTTTTTTTTTTTTTTTTTTTTTTTTTTTTTTTTTTTTTTTTTTTTTTTTTTTTTTTTTTTTTTT